TTTTTTATAGGGGCTGTATATATATGTACTGAAGATTCATTTCCAGCCAAACGTCTTCAACAGCTATTTACTACGTATCCCCAGCAAAGAATGTCCCCATCACATATTAAAGAAGATCTGCCAAAGTTTGGGGACAATATATTTATTGAGCATGTTGCAGATGCTGTAAGAAACTTTGAAATAACCCTTTTTTAACTGGATCCAAAAAAAATTAAAAATTATCTCACTTTCTTTTTTAATTTTAAACCAAAGGCAGGTATGCGTCAGTGTGTTCTAGGCCGCCTGCCCAAACTATTGTCTCATCACTCAGTCAAACTTATCGTGGTGGACTCGATAGCTGGGGTCTTTCGCTCATGTTATGAAAATAATGAAATGAAACATAGAGCTGAAGATATGAGAACTGTTGGTGGGCAGCTGCATAAAATGGCTTCTCAGTACAAACTTTGTGTTATTTGTGTTAATCAGGTAAGCACTCTGCTTGAAATTACTGTGCCATCATGTTGTCCCTTTCAGCTTGGTTGATTTTGAATTCCACTCTTTCAGGTAACAGCATCAGATGGCCCTCAACGATCTGTTCCTGCTTTAGGCCTTGCCTGGTCAAATCTGGTGACATCAAGAATCCAAATGCATCGTAGTGAACCTGATGGAGCAGATTCAGCATCTCAACGATCACTGGAAATTATTTTTGCTCCAGATTTACAACCAACATCAGTATCATACACCATTTCTGAAGCTGGGGTATTTGGTCTGGCCAAGCTTAATTAAATAAATGCAAGAATTCTTGTTTTAGAACTAAAAGTTGTTTAATTGTAAGCAATGCTGTTTCCTTGCCTAGAGTTTATTTCATAAAAATAAAATATTTATATTTTTTTCTATTCTTACAAAATTTTAATACAGCTGGAAACAAAGTCCTTAATTCATAGTCAAATTTAATAATACAGTAGCAAATTGTTTACGGATCCAACAGACACCAGTTGACCACACTGTGAATAAACCATTCCATTGGAAGGGTCTTACAGTGTTTCATGTTATACTTCATATCTGGCTCCCCTTTACCTGGAGAATACAAAATAATATGAGAAGTGGCAGTAAGGGGGCCGTCTCTTGGGGCATGATAAGGAACTGTCTGTTCTTTAGCAGGTATAGCTTCTGGATCTGGTTGCCGGGTCAATACAATTCCTCCGCCTGATTTGACCAGGGTCATTATATCTGATCGGGTTAACAAACATGTCTGAAGTTTGTACTGGACATTGCTGGTTAAGTAGAAATGGCATCCATCAAATAAGCGAGGTAACTTGAAAAAAAGAAAAAATATTTATGAACAGGGCTAGAAAATAATATGTGTACGTACAAATACAGAGAGTAAAAAAAAGAGATTGCAACTGTAAAAAAATACCTGCTTTTGGGCATTGATTCTACTTTTTTTAGGTGCTTCAGAATCTCTGAAATCAGTAATTCCAGCAAGTTCAAATAAATCAATATCAACGCCTATATCTCCATCCTTACAGACACTTATCCCTGGGAAAGAAAGTCCAAATTTTAAACTAATTAAATATGAGCTAGTTTAAGAAAATGCACCTTCCAGGCCTTTTTTGTTTTTACACAACATTCTAAATAAGAACTTACAATCACTAGTCAAAATAAGAACTCCTTTTAGAATGGCACATAGCACCTCTAATGAAGGTGGGCATGTACAATTGGCATTTGATGGCACAATGAAATGTGTCACATCAGGGCTAGAAGTAGAGATGAAAAAAATGCAATTAAATTTTTTTACCCAGTTAAGTTGATATTTAACAACAAACATGGTGTGTTCTCATACCCAAAGACAGGAACTAGCCTAGCGTCTAAGGTCACAGCTAAAGCACACAATTCGTTTCTTTCTTCAGCTGTAAGGCTAGCTTCTCCACACAAAACCATTTCCTGCTGAGCCAAATTATTCTGCTGATGACTTGAGTCAGATTTGCTAAGCTGATCTTTCGGTTCAGTGTTTAGCAACACTTCTTTTATTTCACTAGATGTTGCTAAATCTCTGGGATTGAAATGTAATGAGAAGTCACAAAAACAATAAATCAAACCAGGTGTTCTAAGAACAATGTGATAAAGTAACATACATAGGAGTTTTCCCATCAGAAGATCGTGCATGAATATCAGCACCATGAGCAACAAGACTTTTCACAATTGCTATATGATTATAGATAACAGCTTCATGAAGTGGAGTAACATTGCCTGTTCCAGGCACATCAATAAGAGCTCCTGCCTTGAGGAGCAGTTCCACCACCTCAGTAAAACCACGGATTGCTGCTTCATGCTAGAATAAACAGATGATAAATTAAAACAGAGAATTTTAGGCCTTGGAGCAACAGGATAAGTCTTAAAAGTTCTTACTAAGGGAGTCCATCCAGCGTTGTCCTTGGTGTTTGGACTTGCGTTGGCACTGAGAAGAGTACGAATGCGGTCAACATTGCCCTTAATGCACGCAACATGTAAAGGTGTTTCACCTTTATGGTTCTTTTTGGAGAGCTCTCTACCTGGAGTGTTACTCTTTCTAGGAGTATATTTTACTTCAGTGCTCTTGGGGGTAGAAGCTATGGTGCTTGAAGACTTAGTTGACCTTCTTGGTTTTTTAGGAGTTATAAAGGAATCTTTGAGGAATTCTTCATTACTTGTAGTCTTCTTACCTGTTAAGTCCTTTATTGGCTCAGAACTTGAAGGATTACTGGTATTTTTCAACATTGTCTCTTCAAGATTAATACTACCAGATAAATCTACTGATTGATTGCTAGTAGTAGGAATGGAAGTAGATAAACTTTTTTTCCTTGCACCAACTTTTTTTTTAGTTTCCTTGACTGGTTGTTTTTTAACAGAAGATGGCTTAAGGAAATTTTCCTCATTCACCCCTAGGTCTGCCATAGCTTCTTTAAGTTTTTCAGACATTTTCCTTGGACGCTTTTGGGGTATATCTTTTGTTACATTTGTACTCTCATTCTCTCTCAAATTACCTTTGGAGTCGTCAGGGACTTTACTTGTATCTTTCTTAGAAGGAGATATGTTACTGTCTTCATGTGTATCGTAATCATACAAAGTGCTTCTGGATGCCTTTTTTTCGTTTGTGGTAGTGTTAGAGATGGTTTTATCGGAACTGGAAATGGTACATCAATTTACTTTTTATTAATGATACTAATTGTTGTGATAGGTATTTAAAAAGATGACCTACCATTCTTCAGAATTGATAATTTGGGACAATTTTTGAAAGCATCCAACCACTGCAGTCACAATACGGTCCGATCTGATTTCTGAGGCAAGGGATGGAACGTTGCAGGTGCCACATTTTGTTCCCGATTCTTTAGCACAGTCAGCACAAAAGAAGTGACCGCACCTGTAGCTTACTGGCTCAAGAAATATTTTGTTGCTAGAAAATAAAGAATAAGGACAAGAGGAAGTACATTATAGTTTTGAGTTTTTATGTTTTCTAAACAACAGCAGAAAGGTTAGCAAGTACATAAACAAATAAAACAACTGCTTACCATGTCCAACACCTTAGTAGGTCTTGCAGGTCGACCATAGCGGCTTTAACATTTTTCCATTTCTCGATCCCTGATGTATTCGATGCCATGATTAAATGTCGGTCAATTTCTTCGAAAACTGTATGTTCTGTCGGTCAAATCGTCAGAAATGTGATCCACAAGTCGCGCGAAATTCACAGACTGTCAACTATTTTGTTTTGGCCAGGGCAGCCACTGGCAGCCACAAACAGTTGGTCTGTTTTGCAAATTGCTTAACTAACTTTAGGACTCTATGGGTCGTGCATTGGTTTATACATATATATATTCCTACATTACGGAATAAAGTCATCAATAAACCACACTTAATTGCATAATTTACTTATTTGAAACCTTGTCTTTCATTCCTGCGAATAAAGAGCTAAATGTTATACTCACTGAGAGGTGTATGAAAGGTGAGGGGTTATGGATTTCAAAACAAACTGAAAGACCAAACCAATCAGTTTTTACTTCGTCTTCACCTTCTTATTCCTGCTGATTTTATTTAGGAATTATAAAATGAATACCAGCAATATCACATCAACTTTGGTGAAACAGGTAACATAAACGTTTGCGTTTAACTTTATACTGATTGCATTGTACAGTACTACTGTCATTTGCTGTCATCTAAATGTCACTTTCATTACTTCTACGTTGAACGATGCATGCTAGTATATTAAACTTTTCGATAATTTTTTATTCGAAGAAGAGAAGAGAATCATTAAATGACATCCTTATTGCCCAATTCCAGGCCTCTTCTCTTCAAACATTGTCGTCTCTTTGTGCGAAACGCCAAAAATTGACTGCAGGAGCTGATGTCGCTCAGTATGGAAAGCGTTTCTTTTCAAGTTATGACAACAATACACCATCAAAAGAAACCAGCAATGTCAACCGAAGAGAAAATTCAAACCCCGGTAGTGAGGCCAAGAGATTGAAAAGTGAACCTGAAAGCTCTAATGAGTTGCCAGAAGAACCAACTGATTGTTGTATGTCCGGTTGTGCTAACTGCGTGTGGATTCAATATGCTGAGGAGCTGAAAAGCAAGTTTTGTTCTAGTGATAAAGAACTTCGTGAGATAATAATGAATAAGATATCTGACCCGAATATGAAAATGTTTCTCTCCATGGAGTTAGATAATCTTTCTGATGAAGACAAATGGAGACCCACTACTGATGATAAAGTAACCAAAAATTAATGTTTATCATTTAGGTAGCTTAACAGATCAGTCAAGTGTGATACATAGTTTGCCTGTTAGCAGACATTATTTTCTTCTCCCATGTGCAGTACTTTACATGGGTTTGTTAAATATAATCCTTAAATTATTGCCTGTGTATGGAATGTTTTACTCATCTCCCGAAAAGTAATAAGCACTTTGAGCAACCATTTCTAGTCAGCTTCTGACATTTTCTCTTTAGTTGGGCATTCATATTATGTATTCTGTAGATTAATCAAGTAGATGTTGGTCTATAGAAACAAAGTCCAAACACATATCACTTGTAGTTTTTACAAAAGTTAGGGTTTATCGATAGATGCTGTGAAGACTACAGCTGTCAGTATTTTTAATTTTAACTGGCTGTGAAATAATTTAAGATGTGTCATCTGGTTATTTTTTTCTATCAGACATCTTTCTGTGTGTCCCAGTGTAATGGTTTTTTGTATTTTTGACTTGCTGACAGGTTTAGTCTTCACTTAGTTAGTTCATAGTAACTTGTACAAAAAAGACTGAAAGTGTGGAGGCTTGGCATGCTTTTGCCTGACACACATTTCTCTGAAAGAAGCTGGAGTCCTATTTTTAAATCCTAGAAAAAATATTTATTTTTGTCTGATTATTGATACAATAAACTATTT